CACCACGACTGGCTTTTTTTTTTTTTTTTTTTTGTATTTTTAGTAGAGACGGGGTTTTGCCATGTTGGCCTGGCTGGCCTCGAACTCCTGACCTCAAGTGATCTGCTGGCCTTGGCCTCCCAAAGTGCTGGGATTACAGGCATGAGCCACCGTGCCTGGCCTCCATTTTCCTCTGTTTTTTCAGAGAGCCCAGGTGCCTGGCCTCCATTTTCCTGTTCTTTCAGAGAGCGCAGGCAGAAGCTATTATCATCAAAAGTGAGTTTAAGACTAGTGAGCCTCCCTTGCCACCTGGGTCTCACCTCTCCTGAGGACATGCTTTGCTTTTTGTGATCACAGGTGAGTAGATGAAGGTCTCCCTGTAAGGCTATATACATATTTACATATTCACTCATATTCTTCCTTTGCATCCCAGAAACTAATTTTTAGCAGATTTAAAGCAGATTTTTTAGTCAATGTTAGAAAACATTTTTTAATGTATGAAAGTGAAATTCAATGTAATTAATTTATTAAATCTTAATTGAATTCCTGCTGTTTCCATCACCAGAAAATGACTGCTACGTTTTCTATTGTTATTCGAAATACTCATCTTCTTTATAAATATTTTGACATTTTTTGAAATGCCAAAAATATGCATGGTGTGTGCTATGTAGTCAAGAATTAGCACTTTTGCTTTGGCATAAAGCAAATTTCAGGTGGGGAAAGGAGGCAGTTGATAATGCAGATTTTAAAAAGTAGAATTAAGTTAAAATGGTTATTTTTATTAACATAATCTGTTTCAAGATAGGGTCCTAACAACTTGATTTCTCTATAAGAAATGTCCCCTAAATGATGGTGGGTCACTTTTGGAGTTGAAAATTCTGGCTCCTAATTAAATATGTGTGGTTGAGCAAGTCAGTCTTTTTCTGCCTCAGAGTATTTATCTGTAAAATTAGGAAGTTGCACCAAGAGTCTGATAAAGCACCTTCCAGCTCTAAAAGTCAATGATTCTATGAATGCTCAGCTACATTCTCTATCACCAAAAGGTAGAAACGGTGTCTTCTATTTTTTCCTAAATCCCGATTTTGCCATCATATGGAAAACAACAAAAATAAAGGTAATTAAAAATAGGAAAGAAATGGACTTAAAATTATGCCATCTGATGTCTCAGGCATTTTCATTTTATGTTCCATTCTGGTCCTTGAACATATGTATACATAATTTTACATAGTTGCAATCATAAAATAGGTAAAATGTTATATTTGGCCTACTTCACTTAACATTATGTAACTTTAATATCACCATTATCACTGATAATTATAGTTTAAATGGCCACATGGTATTCCGTTTCATTGATGTATCATAGTTTACTTTAAAAGTCCCTATATTTGGAACTTTAGACTGCTTTCAATGTTTGATACCATAAAGAAGCTACAGCAAATTTTTTATTCATATGGCTCTTTCTTTTGAATAACTTTCTAAGAATAAATTTCTAGGAGTGTAATTACTGAATTAAAGGGAGCCTCTTTACCATTGTTTATAAGTATTAGCAAATGGCTTTCCTGAAAGCTTACACTGATTTACATTGTTGCCACCACATCTGAGAGTGATAGTTTAAGCCTCCCCAAAGGTGTGGTATGAAATTAATTAATGTTTTAATTTACATTTCTCTGATAACTGGCAATCTTGAACATTTTTTCATTTGAGATTGCATTTTATCTTATGCAAATTGTCTGCTTGTACCCTTTTCCATTTACATTTATCTGACTGTGAAACCATCGGTGAGTCACTTAACCTCTCTGCGGCTTGGTTTTCTCATCGATAAGCAGGATAATAATAATTTCTATCTCAGAAATGTTGTATGGATTTCTCAATGTAAAGTATATAGAATAGTACTTGATATATGGAGAACCTTTAAAAAAATGTTAGTACTAGTTGTATTAGAACATTCCTGATTTTCGTTACAATTTATGATTTCCTCTGGTCTTTGTATAAATGCATAAATATCTTTGATTAACTTAGAAGTCTTTATAAAACATAGATGTAATCATTTGGTCTGCTGGGTTTGGCTAAGTGTCTTTCTCTGTTGTTTTAATTACTGTATTGGTTTTGCGTATATGTTCAGGCATGCACATATGAGCATACGAGTATGTATTTTCTCACAAGTCCAGAAACACAGAGTCTATGCCAAAGGGGCAGCTCATAAAAATGTTGACTGCCTGACAGTGCTCAGAATGGTGCAGTCATCTCTGTTGAATAACTGTTCAACCAAATCATTTAGAAAAATACCAAACAAGCAAAATCAAACCACATACATACACGCACTCACAAAATCAAAACCAAACCCAAACCATGCACATACTCACATGCACATTACAAACAAAATGTTTTAAGCCAGAGAGATAAAAGATATTGTAAACTATATAAATTATTTCTCTTTAAGAATAACTGATTCTTTTTCTTTTTTTTTTGAGACTGAGTCTTGCTCTGTCGCCAGGCTGCAGTGCAGTGGCACGATCTCAGCTCACTGCAACCTCTGCCTCCTGGGTTCAAGCGATTCCCCTGCCTCAGCCTCCTGAGTAGCTGGGACTACAGGTGCCCGCCACCATGCCCAGCTAATTTTTTGTATTTTAGTAGAGACGGAGTTTCACCTTGTTGGCCAGGATGGTCTCGATTTCCTGACCTCGTGATCCATTCGCCTCGGCCTCCCAAAGTGCCAGGATTATAGGCGTGAGCCACCGTGCCTGGCCATAACTGATTCTGTATATACAATTGTTGCCTAATTCCTAGCATACTGAGATCCTATTTATTTATTTATTTATTTTCTGAGATCTAATTTAGACCATGGAGAGGAAAAACATAAAGGTGGTATTAATAAACTGCTTTGGGGAGTAAAAGAACCTCTTAGAATCCACGACATCATGGATGGAAGAGATCCTTAAGGAGGGAATGAAGCACAGCTCAGAGTGGGAAGGTTAGCAGTGTTGAAGACCAAAGTTATTCATCTCTACGTGAGTCAATTGAAAGAAAAGAATTAAAAGCATTAAAAAAAACAATATGAGTAATGGGAGGAACTGATGAAGCCTGCTGCCCAGATGAGGATTGGAAACTATTTAAACTGGATAATACAGTGTGTGTTTTGGCTCTGAGAAAACAGAAGTTGAACTTTTGAGTAGTAATCAAGGACATGGTCTCAAAGTGTTTGCAAATAGTGCTGGTATGGAGAACAGATGCCGACATTATTGCCAATGGGAATCACAATAAGAGACTAAAAGAAACCACAGGAAATTTTTGCAGAAAGCTTGGCATTGAGAATGATTTATGGTTGATTTAAGAAGGAGACAAGGAAAATAAGGCTACAGTGTATACCATCTGACTGCTGCAGACCAAGGATGTAAACAGTTAGCCATGGCTTTCCAGCCTCCTGGAAATCAGGATTCTGCTCATACAGAAAGGCGCCAGAATGTTTGTCTGAGTTAAGTGCATACTTCTTTTTTAGTATCTAAGAATAGTTATCCTCCTTTCCTCTCCCATTACTGCTTGGGTATCCTTAAAAATCCTCACCAGCTATTAAGTATCATGGAGTTACGCAAAGAGGTCTGCAGGGAACTTGATGGCTTCCCAAAGCAGATCAGAGAAACTCCCAGGAGGCCCTAGGCTTGAAAGGTGAGCAGCTCTATTTTGTTGCTGTTATGTGTGTGATGTACTTTTATGTTAGAAAACTGAGGTTTGGAGGATTTAGGAGAGTGAGGTGAATCTTCCAAAAATATCTAACAAAGTATGCTGAGAAGGTAAGTTAGAGCGGAAAACACGTGACCATTCCTTGGCCTTGGGTCACTGAAGTTATAACCTCCCTTCAAAGAGTAGAGAACAAACATTGCCTCTGAGACAAAAATAAGAACTTCTTTTTGTTTGTTGGTTTGTTTGTTGTGAGAGAGGGTCTCGCTCTGTCACCCAGGATAAAGTGCGGTGACGTGATCATGGCTCACTGCAGCCTCAACCTCCTGGGCTCAGGTGATCCTTCCACTTCAGCCTCCTGAGTAGCTGGGACCACAGGTGCGTGCCAGTACACCTGGCTACTTTTTAAATTTTTTGTAGAGACAGGGTCTCCTTATGTGGCCCAGGCTGTTCTCAAACTCCTGTCCTCAAGCCATCCTCCCACCTCGGCCTCCCCAAGTGCCGGCATTATAGGCGTGAACCGCCATGCCTGGCCAAAATAAGAAGTTTTTGAGCTATCCTATAGGGTGTCTGAGTTTTGAAATGGGAAAAGAGAGATATATTTGACTAAAAGTAGTAGGATTTTCATATGAGAGAGACAGTCTAGAGGGAGGTCAGTGCTGGTCCTCAAGTCCTTGGGACTACTAGAGAAATATAAGGGGAGAAGATGAAAAACAGTAACAACCAAAATGTTGCCAAAGGTTAAAAACAATGAGCCTGTGACAATGCTTTCTGAATAGCAAAGGAAACAGATTAGATGAGGAAAATAATGTTAGACTTTGTGCCCAGGAACCTGAGCCAATGAAGCCTATCAGTGACCAGAGTTCCATTACCTTAGGAAACTGACTCCAGGCTCTCTCGTCATGTCTGTTTATAGGCATTCTCCCCACATTCATATCTCGCCCTTTTTTCCTAGTTGTGTTTCCTTTGAAAACTTGTACTCCTTGAGCCTGTGCTAAGACTGCAGAGGTCCATCCAAACCTGGACCATAGTAGCTAGCGAGATCCAAGTGTACCCTTGGTGTGCAGGGTGCCCGTCTCAGGAGCATAGTCAGAGAAGAGCTGATACAGCGAGGGTAGATGGAAAGGTGAGGATTCTCTCTGTCTGCCTGCATTGTCCTCTCCACCCTCTTGTTTTCTTGGCAGAATCCTTGATCATTCAGGATCTACTCAAATGTTATTATCTATTATCTCTCTGTAAACCCCATTGATGGAAAGAGCTCTATTCCCATGGCATCTTGTACATAGCATTAATTACACATTTGCTGCATTGTTTTCTAATAGTTTGTGTGTCCATCTTTCTTACAGGACCATCAACTCTAAGATGTTAGGGACTGTATTTTGCATCTATCTCCAGCCCTGAAGCAGTATCCAGAACTACATTGTGCTGTATGGAAGCTGTCAGCTACATGTGGGTATTGAGCGCTTGAAATGTGATAAATTCCAACTGAGATTGTTGCGAGTGTAAAATACACATCAGGTTTTGTCAACCTAGTATGAATAAGAGAATGTAGGCTGGGTACAGTAGCTCATACCTGTAATCCCAGCATTTTTGGAGGCTGAGGCAGGCAGATCACTTGAGGCCGGGAGTTCGAGACCAGTCTGGCCAACATGGCAAACCCTGTCTACTAAAAATAAAAAAAATTGGCCAGGCCTGGTGGTGAATGTCTGTAATCCCAGCTACTTGGGAGGCTGAGGCTCAAGAATCACTTGAACCTGAGATGCAGAGGTTGCAGAAGGCTGAGATCGTACCCCTGCACTCCAGCCTGGGCAACACAGTAAGACTCTGTCTCAAAAAAAAAAAAAAAAAGAGCCAGGCATCGTGGCTCATGCCTGTAATCCCAGCACTTTGAGAGGCCGAGGCGAGTGGATCACCTGAGGTCGGGAGTTCGAGACTGTGCTGGCCAACATGGGGAAACCCTGACTCTACTGAAAATGCAGAAATTAGCCAGGCATGATGCAGGCACCTGTAATCCCAGCTACTCAGGAGGCTGAGGCAGGAGAACCATTTGAACTCAGGAGACGGAGGTTGCAGTGAGCTGAGATCTCACCACTGCACTCCAGCCTGGGTGACAGAGAGAGACTCTGTCTCAAAAAAAAAAAAAAAAAAAAAAAAAGAGAGACAGAGAATGTAAACTATCTCACTAATAAATTTTTATGATTACATGTTAAAATGATAATATTTGGGATGTATTGTGTTAAATAGGATATATTATTAAAATTAATTGTATCTGCATCTTTTTACTGTCTTACATGGCTACTAGAAAATTTAAAAGTATATATATGACTCCTGTTATACTTTTATTGGACAGGGATGGTCTAGAACATAGTAGAGGCTTGTTTGAGTCAGGGTCTTAGCAAGCAAAAGAAAATACATTCATTTTGGATTTTGAAGAGATGTTAATGAAGGGGCAATTTATAGAAGTGTGGGCAAGGTTAAGGAAACCCACAAAGGATGCTGAAGCACCAAGAGACTAGGAAAAGAGGGGAGCAGTTAGCCTACAAAGGAGAGGAAAAGCCATTACTAGAGCTAATGAGCACTGGAGGTGCCTAAGAGGAGCACCCAGCAGGAGCTCTAGTTCCCGTCACTGCCAGAACCATGTCTTGCTCCCACTGGCTGTAAGGAATCAGAAGCCGGAAGGCAGAGATCCTGGATGATGTAGCCCTTAGGGGACCACTCCCACCACCCCGGGCAGAGAAGATGGAGAATAGGTGAGGGCAGGAGGAGAGCATGGGATAAAGAGTAATGAGCACAGAGCTCAGTACATTTGTTCAGTGAATGAATGAAATGAAACTAGTCACTAAGGAGAGAATGGAGGATGGTGCAAAATTAACTTTTTCCCATCTGGGATTATTTTGCAGTAGTGCTTTTCAAACTGTTCTGTGACACTGAAGAGTTTAATGAAATTATGTTAGGGGTTCCACAGACATTTCTTTCCTGTTCTAAATATATGTATTTCTAACTATTAAAATACTGCCCTCGAGGATGGGCACGGTGGCTCACATCTGTAATCCCAGCACTTTAGGAGGCCAAGGCAGGTGGATCACTTGAGGTCAGGAGTTTGAGACCAACCTGGCCAACATAGTGAAACCCCATCTCTACTTAAAATATAAAAATTAGCTGGGCATAGTGGCACATGCCTGTAGTCCCAGCTATTCGGGAGGCTGAGGCAGGATAATTGCTTGAACCTCAGAGGCAGAGGTTGCAGTGAGCTGAGATTGCACCACTGCGTTCCAGCTTGGGCAACAGAATGAGACTCCATCTCAAAAAAAAAAAAAAAAAGAACTCGCCTAAAGCACAGGAACATGCACATCCAAACGTGTTATATATCAAAATTTTTAACACATGGGAAACAGGTCACACATCAACTTGTGCTGCCAGGTGAATTTTTGTGCAAGCCTAAAAACAAGAGTTCCTCCTGTCTCTTTTGTGGTTTTATTTGAATATTATTTTTTATTCTTTTAATTTTTCTAGTCAGTTTCTGCTTATCCATTAATTGAATATCTTAAATGTGTCACTTATTAATGTTTAGGTCTGCATTAGTGCTTTAGAAAAATTCAGGTCTACATGTGTCCATTTATATAAAGTTGCACACATTAGTATACCATTGTAACACATGGGCACAGCTCAATTAAATGCTGAGCAATGTTCAGGAATGTGTATTTGACACATGTTCTTGTCTCATCACATATCTCACTTGCTATCATGTTTATGTAAAAATGATACATTCATGTTAAGGAATTCTACAATAGCAGATATTATAGGAATTCAATCTGAAATGCATTTCTGGCCATTTGCATTTGATGTTCCCTATGCTTTGAAGGTATTTCCTTTAGCTCTTGGTAAGGCTGAGATTAAGATGTTCCTTAGTTCTATTTATCCTTTTATCCTTTAGCTTTTAGCTGAAATGTTTCCTCCTTGGGAAAGGCTTCCCTGACCACCTAATCACTTAAGTAGGTTCCCCTCCCCATTCTCTCTTTAAGCATTATTTCAGCCTTCATAGCACTTATCACAATTGGTAACTATTTTGCATAATTACCTCTTTATTGGTTTTTGCCCGTTTCCCTAACAAGAATTTAAATTTCATCAGTGTAGCGATGGGGTCTCTACTTAGCATGGGTTAGGGACTATTTGAGCTTTACCCATATTCATTCATCTACTCACAATCACCTTGTGAGGGCCCCTTTGAGAGACAAGGACACTGAGATGCAGAGAGGGTAAGTGGCCTGGTCAAGGTCTCCTAAGCTATCATATGAGAGAGCCAGGATTCAAACCCAGGAATCAGTGGGGGCCCAAGAGTACAGCAGCATGTTTAACATTAAAGGCTTCCAACTCCAGGCCCCAAAGTGCTAACAAAAACACTGGATTTTTGTTTTTCTTTTCTTTTTTTTGAGACAGTCTCACTCTGTCACCCAGGCTGGAGTGCAGTGGCACCATCTCCACTCACTGCAAGCTCCACCTCCCAGGTTCAAGCGATTCTCCTGCCTCAGCCTCCCGAGTAGCTGGGATTACAGGTGCCTTGGCCTCCCAAAGTGCTGGGATTACAGGGATGAGCCACTGCACCCGGCCCAGCAAATACATATTCTTCCAACTCATGGATGAGAAACTGATGTCCACGCATGGTCTGAGACATGGTACTATGTAGCACGTAGGAGAATCGGAATTCCAGGCAGGTGATAGGGCATGATGGTTAGGAGGATAGGTTCAAATCTTCATTCTGCCATTTTTGGGCTGGGTGATCTTTGGAAAGGTACTTAATTTCTCTAGGTCTCAACTCATTTGTAAAATGGGGATAATAGTACCTACCTCATAAGGTTATTGTAATAGTTATAATAATTCACATAACCCAGCACCGTAGGAAGCTTTCAAAAAATGTTAGCCTGGTCAGGCACGGTGGCTCATGCCTGTAATCCCAGCACTTTGAGAGGCCAAGGTGGGAAGATCACGAGGTCAGGAGTTCAAGACCAGCCTGGCCAGCATGGTGAAACCCTGTCTCTACTAAAAATACAAAAAAATTAGTCGGGAATGGTGGTGTGCACCTGTAGCCCCAGCTACTCGGGAGGCTGAGGCAGGAGAATTGCTTGAACCTGGGAGGTGCAGGTTGCAGTGAACCGAGATCGTGCCACTGTACTCCAGCCAACAGAGTGAGACACCATCTCAAAAAAAAAAAAAAAAAAGGTATTTGCTGAGCGCATCTGTGTTCTCTGGGTGGAGAGCTGGAGGGCAGGTGTATGTAGACGAGTTCATTCTTAGCAGAGGTCACCAGGAAACCTTTTGCTCCTTCTGAACTATGTCCTGTCCTCTCCAAATGGTGTTCTTTTTGGGCCTCCCAGTTTAACATTGTCATTTTCCTGTGGAAATGCTGGGAAACACAATATGTGGAAATTAAACAACATACTCCTAAATAACTCATGGGTCAAAGAACAAAGAAGAAATCAAAAGAGAATCTGAAAATAATTTGAGAGGCAAAAAGTACTTTGAAAGAAGGAAAAATGAAGACACAACATACCAAAACTTAGGGGATATAACTGAAGCCTCCTGTGTACAGAATAGAGGGGACTTCAAAAAGTTCATGGAAAATTATTAAATTAAAAGATAAAAATGAAAAATATAAGCTTTATTTTTCAACATAAGCTCCATCAAGTCCAAGACACTTTTGTAAACAATGATACCAGCCATTTAATCTTTTCCTAAAGAATGCAGGGTCCTGGGAATGTAACCATGTCAAGGCAGTCTTTTTTTTTCTTTTGAAATGGAGTCTCACTCTGTCACCCAGGCTGGAGTGCAGTGGCATTATCTCAGCTCACTCCAACCTCCACCTTCTGTGTTTAAGCAGTTCTCCTGCTTCAGCCTCCCAAGTGACTGAGATTACAGGCATACACCACTATGCCTGGCTAATTTTTTTTTTTTTTTTTTTTGTATTTTTAGTAGAGACAGGGTTCACCATGTCGACCCACCATGTTGACCAGGCTGGTCTCAAACTCCTGGCCTCAAGTGACCCGCCTGCCTCGGCCTCCCAAAGTGCTGGGATTATAGGCGTGAACCACTACACTCAGCCAGGGCAATCTTTTTTGCATTGTCATCTGAAGAAAAATGGATGCCCTATAAAGGATATTTTTAATTTTTATTTTTAGAGACAGAGTCTCACTCTGTTGCCAGGCTGGAGTGCAGTGGTGAGATCATAGCTCACTGCAACCTTGAACTTCTGGGCTCAAGCAGTCCTCCTGCCTCAGCCTCTCAAGTAGTTAAGAGTACGGGTGCATGCTGCCACACCCAGCTAATTTGTTAAATTTGTAGTAGAAATGAGGTCTCGCTATGTTGCTCAGGCTGGTCTCGAACTCCCGGCCTTAAGCAGTCCTTCCACCTCAGCGTCCCAAAGTGTTGGAATTACAGGTGTGAGACACCAGGCT